TTTAGTATAACAATTTAATAAATATCAGTCGGTTTTATCGACAGATGTATACTCCAAGCTAATGTTCGATTATTTAAATATATTTTGACTTCTGTTATGATTATTCAAATAGTTGTCCCTCTATGGAGTAGGTTCCGAAGGAATGGGCCAGGTTTGGACTATATCGACTACTTCCTTCACTTTTTATGAGGTATGTAATAATAAGAAAATATTAAAATGTGCGTGAGGTACCAGATATAGTCGACAGAAGTATTCCATTTTCATACTTCAACTAGTACAGATAAAAATATTTGTATGGCCAAGATTACAAGAAAATCGAATATTAATATCCAATTTTATGGAAAATCATAAATATTGAGATATAGCAAGCTGTAAAGAATCGCTGACCTGCTTCGCAAGTTATGACAGATAAAAGTATTGGAATTTGTGACCCTTTCTGGGTGAGGTACCAGAAGGAGTTCGCAGATATTTTTGAGGTTAATAATGTATAATTTGAAGACAAACAGACACTTACTCCAAATTTTATAAGAGTTATAATTATTCAAAATGTTGACCCTTTGTGGGGGAGGTACTTGATGGAGTGGACCGATATTGTTTATTTTCGTACATGACCTAGCACTGATGCAAATATTAGGATTTGCAAATTTGGAGAAAATTGGATTATCCTTTCACTTTTTCTGCAGTAAGTTATTTTCTTTGAAAATGTCAACATTTTGTCGGAGAAGATAAAAACGATTTTAACTAGCGAAGACAACTCCCAGTCTGGGCGCACTTTCTGTTGTATAACAGTGTATAACAGATATGCGGAAAATAAAAACGATTTTGGTAGGGGTAAAATAAAAACGATTTTTGAAGATGCGAAACAAAAATGCAATTTTTTTTAAATTTGTATTTATTCCTGTTTGTACCTGATAATGAACATAATTATAAGTATAAAAAAATAAAATAACTAATTTAAAGGTGTTTCAATAAAAAAACTTTCGTCATCATACCGATTATTTTTTAATGGAAGAAAGTTACATAGACCACTGTGCAGCAATAAAAAATAGTGCACGCATATGAATGGCACTGCAGGAAAGGTCGTTCCAAGAGCTTTCTAAAACGCTATTACTTGGCCAAATCGATCGTGGAAAATTAGAGAAAAATTGATTTTTCTTATTTTTCAAAAGTTATCAACGAGTCCCACTGTGCGAAAACTAAAAATAGTGCAAGCTCATGGAATAGCACGTTGGAAAGCCCATGAGGTGTACTTTCGAGATATAAACACTCCTGAAAGATTAATCGGGCAGATTTTTTTAAAAAATATTTTTCCTAAAGTCAAGTGTTTTCTAGAGGGAAACATAAAATGGCCCACTGTGCAGCAATAAAAAATAGTGCACGCATATGAATGGCACTGCAGGAAAGGTCGTTCCAAGAGCTTTCTAAAACGCTATTACTTGGCCAAAACGATCGTGGAAAATTAGAGAAAAATTGATTTTTCTTATTTTTCAAAAGTTATCAACGAGTCCCACTGTGCGAAAACTAAAAATAGTGCAAGCTCATGGAATAGCACGTTGGAAAGCCCATGAGGTGTACTTTCGAGATATAAACACTCCTGAAAGATTAATCGGGCAGATTTTTTTTAAAAAATATTTTTCTTAAAGTCAAGTGTTTTCTAGAGGGAAACATAAAATGGCCCACTGTGCAGCAATAAAAAATAGTGCACGCATATGAATGGCACTGCAGGAAAGGTCGTTCCAAGAGCTTTCTAAAACGCTATTACTTGGCCAAATCGATCGTGGAAAATTAGAGGAAAATTGATTTTTCTTATTTTTCAAAAGTTATCAACGAGTCCCACTGTGCGAAAACTAAAAATAGTGCAAGCTCATGGAATAGCACGTTGGAAAGCCCATGAGGTGTACTTTCGAGATATAAACACTCCTGAAAGATTAATCGGGCAGATTTTTTTAAAAAATATTTTTCCTAAAGTCAAGTGTTTTCTAGAGGGAAACATAAAATGTCCCACTGTGCAGCAATAAAAAATAGTGCACGCATATGAATGGCACTGCAGGAAAGGTCGTTCCAAGAGCTTTCTAAAACGCTATTACTTGGCCAAATCGATCGTGGAAAATTAGAGAAAAATTGATTTTTCTTATTTTTCAAAAGTTATCAACGAGTCCCACTGTGCGAAAACTAAAAATAGTGCAAGCTCATGGAATAGCACGTTGGAAAGCCCATGAGGTGTACTTTCGAGATATAAACACTCCTGAAAGATTAATCGGGCAGATTTTTTTTAAAAATATTTTTCCTAAAGTCAAGTGTTTTCTAGAGGGAAACATAAAATGTCCCACTGTGCAGCAATAAAAAATAGTGCACGCATATGAATGGCACTGCAGGAAAGGTCGTTCCAAGAGCTTTCTAAAACGCTATTACTTGGCCAAATCGATCGTGGAAAATTAGAGAAAAATCGATTTTCCTTATTTTTCAAAAGTTATCAACGAGTCCCACTGTGCGAAAACTAAAAATAGTGCAAGCTCATGGAACAGCACGTTGGAAAGCCCATGAGGTGTACTTTCAAGATATAAACACTCCTGAAAGATTAATCGGGCAGATTTTTTTTAAAAAATATATTTCCTAAAGTCAAGTGTTTTCTAGAGGGAAACATAAAATGTCCCACTGTGCAGCAATAAAAAATAGTGCACGCATATGAATGGCACTGCAGGAAAGGTCGTTCCAAGAGCTTTCTAAAACGCTATTACTTGGCCAAATCGATCGTGGAAAATTAGAGAAAAATTGATTTTTCTTATTTTTCAAAAGTTATCAACGAGTCCCACTGTGCGAAAACTAAAAATAGTGCAAGCTCATGGAATAGCACGTTGGAAAGCCCATGAGGTGTACTTTCGAGATATAAACACTCCTGAAAGATTAATCGGGCAGATTTTTTTAAAAAATATTTTTCCTAAAGTCAAGTGTTTTCTAGAGGGAAACATAAAATGTCCCACTGTGCAGCAATAAAAAAATAGTGCACGCATATGAATGGCACTGCAGGAAAGGTCGTTCCAAGAGCTTTCTAAAACGCTATTACTTGGCCAAATCGATCGTGGAAAATTAGAGAAAAATCGATTTTCCTTATTTTTCAAAAGTTATCAACGAGTCCCACTGTGCGAAAACTAAAAATAGTGCAAGCTCATGGAATAGCACGTTGGAAAGCCCATGAGGTGTACTTTCAAGATATAAACACTCCTGAAAGATTAATCGGGCAGATTTTTTTTAAAAAATATTTTTCCTAAAGTCAAGTGTTTTCTAGAGGGAAACATAAAATGTCCCACTGTGCAGCAATAAAAAATAGTGCACGCATATGAATGGCACTGCAGGAAAGGTCGTTCCAAGAGCTTTCTAAAACGCTATTACTTGGCCAAATCGATCGTGGAAAATTAGAGAAAAATTGATTTTTCTTATTTTTCAAAAGTTATCAACGAGTCCCACTGTGCGAAAACTAAAAATAGTGCGAGCTCATGGAATAGCACGTTGGAAAGCCCATGAGATGTACTTTCGAAATATAAACACTCCTGAAAGATTAATCACGCAGATTTTTTTTAAAAAATATTTTTCCTAAAGTCAAGTGTTTTCTAGAGGGAAACATAAAATGGCCCACTGTGCAGCAATAAAAAATAGTGCACGCATATGAATGGCACTGCAGGAAAGGTCGTTCCAAGAGCTTTCTAAAACGCTATTACTTGGCCAAATCGATCGTGGAAAATTAGAGAAAAATTGATTTTTCTTATTTTTCAAAAGTTATCAACGAGTCCCAGTGTGCGAAAACTAAAAATAGTGCAAGCTCATGGAATAGCACGTTGGAAAGCCCATGAGGTGTACTTTCGAGATATAAACACTCCTGAAAAATTAATCGGGCAGATTTTTTTTAAAAAATATTTTTCCTAAAGTCAAGTGTTTTCTAGAGGGAAACATAAAATGTCCCACTGTGCAGCAATAAAAAATAGTGCACGCATATGAATGGGACTGCAGGAAAGGCCGTTCCAAGAGCTTTCTAAAACGCTATTACTTGGCCAAATCGATCGTGGAAAATTAGAGAAAAATTGATTTTTCTTATTTTTCAAAAGTTATCAACGAGTCCCACTGTGCGAAAACTAAAAATAGTGCAAGCTCATGAAATAGCACGTTGGAAAGCCCATGAGGTGTACTTTTGAGATATAAACACTCCTGAAAGATTAATCGGGCAGATTTTTTTTTTAAAAATATTTTTCCTAAAGTCAAGTGTTTTCTAGAGGGAAACATAAATGGCCCACTGTGCAGCAAGAGCTTTCCGTATTTATATCCAGACATTCCATTCATTTTTCGCGTTATTTGAGTCATTTTAGAAATGAACAAAAAATATCAATTAAATGAAAACAACTTCTTGCCTGTAATATTGAATAATTCTGACAAGAAGCGGGTGTAGCCTTAAGGCTGTATTTCTGTAGTTTTACGAAGCTGTTCTACCTCCTTATTGTACCATGGTAAATCTGCGCACATTACCAAACTCTCATGTAGTCTGGTAATGTGCAGTACATTTAGACTTATGAAAAATGTTAGAGGGAACTAGCTATAATATGTGCACTTTACCAAACTATCGCTAACATCGATGTTTTTCCCGATAGTCTGGTAATGTGCAATTATGTGAGAACATCCAGGCATTTCATTCATCTTTCGCTTTATTTGATTCATTTTAGAAGAGGACAAAAAATATCAAAAAATGAAAACAATTTGTTGCCTATAATTTTGAATAATTCTTTCAGGTAGCGGGTATAGCCTTAAGGCTGTGTTTCTGTAGTTTTACGAAGCTGTTCTACCTCGTTATTGCACCATGCCACATTACCTAACTATCACTAACATCGATGTTTTTCCCGATAGTCTGGTAATGTGCAATACATTTAGACATATGAAAAATGTTAGAGGGAACTACCTATAATATGTGCACGTTACCAAACTATCGTTAACATCGATGTTGGAGGGAAATATTGTTATTGCAATATTGTTATGTTGATTTGTATTGAAGAACAGGACACCGAAGCTTGGGTAGGTATACATTTTTGTGAATTTTTATTGTTTAATATTAATAAAATTCTTCACCTTTTCAGACAAAAACACGAATTGTATTGCCATGGATGAGAGAACAGCTTTTGAAAAATTAAAATTGGATAATAAAAAGAAAATGCGAAATATGCATCGGATGTTGGAGGGAAATATTGTAATTGTTGATTTGCATTGAAGAACAGGACACAGGAAGCTTGGGTAGGTATACATTTTTGTGAATTTTTATTGTTTAATTTTAATAAAATTCTTCACCTTTTCAGACAGAAACACGAATTGTATTGCCATGGATGGGAGAAAAACTCTTGAAAAATGAAAATTGGATAATAAAAAGAAAATGCGAAATATGCATCGGATGTTGGAGGGAAATTTTGTAATTGTTGATTTGTATTGAAGAACAGGACACCGGAAGCTTGGGTAGGTATACATTTTTGTGAATTTTTATTGTTTAATTTTAATAAAATTCTTCACCTTTTCAAACAGAAACACGAATTGTATTGTCATGGATGGGATAATAAAAACAAAATACGAAATATGCATCGGATTCTCTTCAAATTTTACGCATCTTAATATTGATGACACATGATCGGTGTGAAAATGGGATATATGTTCAACCTCCTCCACAACGAGTCAGCATTTTGAATAACAGAGCGGTAATAAAAAGCATTGAAGAACAAGACACCTGGAGCTTAGGTAGGTATATATTTTTGTGAATTTTTATTGTTTAATTTTAATAAAATTCTTCACCTTTTCAGACAGAAACACGAATTGTATTGCCATGGATGGGAGAAAAACTCTTGAAAAATGAAAATTGGATAATAAAAAGAAAATGCGAAATATGCATCGGATGTTGGAGGGAAATTTTGTAATTGTTGATTTGTATTGAAGAACAGGACACCGGAAGCTTGGGTAGGTATACATTTTTGTGAATTTTTATTGTTTAATTTTAATAAAATTCTTCACCTTTTCAGACAGAAACACGAGTTGTATTGTCATGGATGGGATAATAAAAACAAAATACGAAATATGCATCGAATTCTCTTCAAATTTTACGCATCCTAATATTGATGACACATGATCGGTGTGAAAATGGGATATATGTTCAACCTCCTCCACAACGAGTCAGCATTTTGAATAACAGAGCGGTAATAAAAAGCATTGAAGAACAAGACACCTGGAGCTTAAGGTACGGTCATACTGGGCAAATATTTGATTGAAATTTGTTTTCCCATATTTGACTAAACAAATGTGAAATTCATACAGAGTTGATTCGATGTTCACATTACAGTCAAATATTTGACAGATTTTGTTTGTTCAAACAGTCAGCTATGGGGAAACATGTTTGACACATGTTCACATTCGTAAAATATATTTTCCCAATAAATTGTTTGATCAAACTGTGAGGAAACATAAATTTATTTGGCCGAGAGAAATGACAGAGAGAGTGAAAGAGATACATAAATATAATGGATTTTCGGGTATAATTTATTTGGAGAAGGGAAGCAAATGACCAGCTGTTGTGGAATAAATTCCTTGTCAGAACATTATTTTTGCATTTTTGTATGTTTGTATCACGGTAGAAGAATACTGATAGTCGCATCGACATAGCTGCTGGGACAATGAACTGACAAAACAATAATGAATAAAATATTATTAAAATTTGTAAAAATTGTTGAAAATACATATCATTGCGTAAAAGAAAACATAGAAAAATCTTCTTATTTTTGTCAAAACATTTCAAAATGTTTGACATATCAATGTTTCAAGCGTTGATGCATCTACCTATATCCTATTCCTGAACCTGCAATAATCTACTAGTTTGTCAATTTCTTCGATATAATAAAGGGAAAATCGGTAATCGTAGTAAAAACTTTTACATCTTGCAGTTCTGGAACAGACCATATATTAAATTTTTACTAAACATTCAAATTCAGTTAATTCAAAAATATCAAATAAACAATACCACCTATTGTATTCGTTTGCTTTTCTTTCATTAAACATCATGTTACAAATGCTCCTGTTCTTAAAGCAAAATGCTGCCCAATGTTTTAAACTGATAGTTTTCCTTGTTTGACCTTACAAAACATTTGCACCGTCAAATAAATGTTTGACCAAAAAAGAGGAAAATAATTGATCATAGGTGTTCACATAATGGACACACTGGTCAAATTTTTGTTTTCTGGCAAATAATTTTGTTTTCCCAAAATCAGCTGTTTTTGTATTTACCGTCAAATAATATTTGGTGGTCAGATTGTGACAAAGAAATATTTGACATTTTTCGTCAAATATTTGCTCAATGTGACCTTACCTTTAGGTAGGTATATATTTTTGTGAATTTTTATTGTTTAATTTTAATAAAATTCTTCACCTTTTCAGACAGAAACTTGAAAATTGCATAATGAAAACAATATGCGAAATATGCATCGGATTCTCTTTATTTGACGCATCCCAATATTGATGACACATGATCGATGTGAAGATGGGATATATATAGAACTAAACGGTAATAAAAGGCAAAATAAGCATCCGAATCTCTTCAAATTTTACACTTCGGAATAACAAGATGTGGTATGAAGATGTTGGATATTGGTCTTATTCTGGTACCTCCGCCACAAATGATCACAATTTCAAATACTTATAGCTCTCATAACATGCGGAACAAGTCAGTGATTCTATGTGAACTTGGTATATTAAAATATTTCTGTCAACCAGAGATCAATAGTGGAATTTTGTTTTGAGTTACCGACAAAAGTCAGTGAAATTGAAATGCTTATAATTTCGGTAATTACGAGTTTTTTCGGAAAGTTAGCGATGAAATCAAAGTAGTATGTAAGACCTACCAATGTTGTCAACTTTAACTTATTGTTTATATCCAGATTTTGGATTTCGAAGTTAAAGATTTTTGTCGGTAACTCAAAAAATGAGTTAGAGAATCCCACTATTGATGTGAATATAAGATTTATCAGCCTTTTGCTATGTCCGCCACAAAAAATTTAAATCTATAAATATAAGCATAAAATTGATAATAACTGTTCGTTTTTCTTTAAATTTTGCACTATTCTTATCCATTATGGATGAGGTGGGACACTTCGGCCAACTATGTATGTTACATCCAGCACATTTCAACATTTTCGACAATTATCACATATCTATCTTATATGTAGTAGAGGAAGTACTCAATGTATGCTCTGTTACAGAAATGCAAGGATTTAAAACTATTTAATAAGATAACTAATTTTCCTTTGAGGTATTGAAAAAAAGCAAAAAGCAGTAAATAATTGCTGGGTTTGGAACAAACAAAAAGTCCAAATCTGGCACGTTATAATATTGTCCTATTCTTTTGGAACCTTTCCAAGTCAAGCATGTTGAAATATGTATTTGAGTAAACGGACATTGAGGGTATACATCTGTCCATAGAACCGACTGATACTTTTTAACTTGTTTTTTATATTGCACACAATTTTTTCAATTTGATATACCAAATCGTATATTGTACATTTTGTATTTTTTAAGTCTTTTCGCAACAGTGTAGAAAATCAAATTAGTGTATACTTTATAACAACCTCTGTAGAACGAAATTAGTATTATCTACTTATAATAGCTCTGATTTTGAAATGAGAAAAGAGGGCAAATTACGAGTTATAAAATATTTATTTCATATCTTATAAAAACGAATATGCTTATAAAATATTCATATCTAACATAATTAATCTTATTAAAACGAAAAAACGATTACTAATTGTAGTAAAAAAATAAGAAAAACGAAAACTTAAGAATCAATGTAAAAACGTATGTAAAAAAAACTAAAAAATAGATTAATTCAAAAACAAAAAAAAAACTCGCTTCTATAGAAAACCTTCTGATGTACCACCTTCATTATTTTCCTCATTTTCATGGCTTGATTCCACATCCGTTACGCGATCACTGTCTTTACTCTGCCTCAAATTGAGATTTTCCAATTCGGTAGATAAATTATTAAAAGACGAGGGTTGTAGGGGATGACGCTTTCGTTGTGGCAGGCTGTTGTTGAATTTCTATAAAGTGGTGGTTTGTATGTTGCGACAGCTGTGGCTGAAAATGTTGTGCCACTGGCTGTTGGTGTTGTTGCGACTGCTGGTGCTGGATATGATGTGAAACTGGCTGTTGTTGGATTTGTACATAGTGGTGGTTTGTATGTTGCGACAGCTGGGGCTGAAAATGTTGTGCTACTGGCTGTTGGTGTTGTTGCGACTGCTGGTGCTGGATATGATGTGAAACTGGCTGTTGTTGGATTTGTACATAGTGGTGGTTTGTGTGTTCCGACAGCTGTGGCTGAAAATGTTGTGCCACTGGCTGTTGCTGTTGTTGCGACTGCTGGTGCTGGATATGCACTTGCTGTCTGCACTATGTGGTGTTGTTGTGCCTGTAAATGCATCGGCTGTTGTGGAGTGTGGAAAAAATTAGGTTGGAATGTTGGGAACAAATTTGATGGAAAGTACTGTGCCACAAACTGCTGAGAGTGTTGCTGGAATGTTGGTTCTGGATATTGTGTGCAGCGGTATTGTTGCACTTGATTATAATGCGAATGTTGTGGGCCATAACGTTCTTGTCTGCTGTGAGTATTCGGCCATTGATGGCCATAACGTTCTTGCCTGTTGCGCGCATCCGGCTGTTGCCTTTTTAATGCCTCGATTTTTTTTTTTGAATTTTCTTATTAGTCTCTGCCTTTGCAGAAACTGATTGTTTCTCCTGTTACCTGGAGCCACGCTAACTTGTAAATTAAGCGGTATCTTAAATGGATACTAGATATTGACAAAAATATCAGTTTAAAACATTGGGCAGCATTTTGCTTTAAGAACAGGAGCATTTGTAACATGATGTTTAATGAATAGAAAAGCAAACGAATACAATGGGTGGTATTGTTTATTTGATATTTTTGAATTAACTGAATTTGAATGTTTAGTAAAAATTTAATATATGGTCTGTTCCAGAACTGCTAGATGTAAAAGTTTTTACTACGATTACCGATTTTCCCTTTATTATATCGAAGAAATTGACAAACTAGTAGATTATTGCAGGTTCAGGAATAGGATATAGGTAGATGCATCAACGCTTGAAACATTGATATGTCAAACATTTTGAAATGTTTTGACAAAAATAAGAAGATTTCTCTATGTTTTCTTTTACGCAATGATGTGTATTTTTCAACAATTTTTACAAATTTTAATAATATTTTATTCATTATTGTTTTGTCAGTTCATTGTCCCAGCAGCTATGTCGATGCGACTACCAGTATTCTTCTACCGTGATACAAACATACAAAAATGCAAAAAAATGTTCTGACAAGGAATTTATTCCACAACAGCTGGTCATTTGCTTCCCTTCTCCAAATAAATTATACCCGAAAATCCATTATATTTATGTCTCTCTTTCACTCTCTCTGTCATTTCTCTCGGCCAAATAAATTTATGTTTCCTCACAGTTTGATCAAACAATTTATTGGGAAAATATATTTTACGAATGTGAACATGTGTCAAACATGTTTACCCATAGCACTATTTGACGTTATTTGGTGACCGTTTGAACAAACAAAATCTGTCAAATATTTGACTGTAATGTGAACATCGAATCAACTCTGTATGAATTTCACATTTGTTCAGTCAAATATGGGAAAACAAATTTCAATCAAATATTTGCTCAGTGTGACCGTACCTTAAGCTCCAGGTGTCTTGTTCTTCAATACAAATCAACAATTACAAAATTTCCCTCCAACATCCGATGCATATTTCGCATTTTCTTTTTATTATCCAATTTTCATTTTTCAAGAGTTTTTCTCCCATCCATGGCAATACAATTCGTGTTTCTGTCTGAAAAGGTGAAGAATTTTATTAAAATTAAACAATAAAAATTCACAAAAATATATACCTACCTAAGCTCCAGGTGTCTTGTTCTTCAATGCTTTTTATTACCGCTCTGTTATTCAAAATGCTGACTCGTTGTGGAGGAGGTTGAACATATATCCCATTTTCACTCCGATCATGTGTCATCAATATTAGGATGCGTAAAATTTGAAGAGAATCCGATGCATATTTCGTATTTTGTTTTTATTATCCCATCCATGACAATACAATTCGTGTTTCTGTCTGAAAAGGTGAAGAATTTTATTAAAATTAAACAATAAAAATTCACAAAAATGTATACCTACCCAAGCTTCCGGTGTCCTGTTCTGCAATACAAATCAACAATTACAAAATTTCTCTCCGACATCCGATGCATATTTCGCATTTTCTTTTTAGTATCCAATTTTCATTTTTCAAGAGTTTTTCTCCCATCCATGGCAATACAATTCGTGTTTCTGTCTGAAAAGGTGAAGAATTTTATTAAAATTAAACAATAAAAATTCACAAAAATGTATACCTACCCAAGCTTTCGGTGTCATGTTCTTCAATGCAAATCAACAATTACAATATTTCCCTCCAACATCCGATGCATATTTCGCATTTTCTTTTTATTATCCAATTTTAATTTTTCAAAAGCTGTTCTCTCATCCATGGCAATACAATTCGTGTTTTTGTCTGAAAAGGTGAAGAATTTTATTAATATTAAACAATAAAAATTCACAAAAATGTATACCTACCCAAGCTTCGGTGTCCTGTTCTTCAATACAAATCAACATAACAATATTTCAATAACAATATTTCCCTCCAACATCGATGTTAACGATAGTTTGGTAATGTGCACAGATTATAGGTAGTTCCCTCTAACATTTTTCATATGTCTAAATGTATTGCACATTACCAGACTATCGGGAAAAACATCGATGTTAGTGATAGTTAGGTAATGTGGCATGGTGCAATAACGAGGTAGAACAGCTTCGTAAAACTACAGAAACACAGCCTTAAGGCTATACCCGCTACCTGAAAGAATTATTCAAAATTATAGGCAACAAATTGTTTTCATTTTTTGATATTTTTTGTCCTCTTCTAAAATGAATCAAATAAAGCGAAAGATGAATGAAATGCCTGGATGTTCTCACATAAATATTACCCAAGTGTTCAATATTTCAATTCCATGGCAAATCTGGTTAATATTAATAATGCGCGTCCAGCAATATAAACTTCTTCCAATCATTGATTTTACAAACAAATACATACACAAAATTGGCTGAAGTCGGCCACACTTAGAAAACAAATTGTTATTAGCTGGGAGCTCTACCTTACCTTATTATTGTACCGTGGATTATACTTTGTTCCCTCCAACATTTTTCATATGTCTAAATGTATTGCACATTACCAGACTATCGGGAAAAACATCGATGTTAGCGATAGTTTGGTAAAGTGCACAGATTATAGCTAGTTCCCTCTAACATTTTTCATAAGTCTAAATGTACTGCACATTACCAAACTACATGAGAGTTTGGTAATGTGCGCAGATTTACCATGGTACAATAAGGAGGTAGAACAGCTTCGTAAAACTACAGAAATACAGCCTTAAGGCTACACCCGCTTCTTGTCAGAATTATTCAATATTACAGGCAAGAAGTTGTTTTCATTTAATTGATATTTTTTGTTCATTTCTAAAATGACTCAAATAACGCGAAAAATGAATGGAATGTCTGGATATAAATACGGAAAGCTCTTGCTGCACAGTGGGCCATTTATGTTTCCCTCTAGAAAACACTTGACTTTAGGAAAAATATTTTTTAAAAAAAATCTGCCCGATTAATCTTTCAGGAGTGTTTATATCTCAAAAGTACACCTCATGGGCTTTCCAACGTGCTATTCCATGAGCTTGCACTATTTTTAGTTTTCGCACAGTGGGACTCGTTGATAACTTTTGAAAAATAAGAAAAATCGATTTTTCTCTAATTTTCCACGATCGATTTGGCCAAGTAATAGCGTTTTAGAAAGCTCTTGGAACGACCTTTCCTGCAGTGCCATTCATATGCGTGCACTATTTTTTATTGCTGCACAGTGGGCCATTTTATGTTTCCCTCTAGAAAACACTTGCCTTTAGGAAAAATATTTTTTAAAAAAAATCTGCCCGATTAATCTTTCAGGAGTGTTTATATCTCGAGAGCACACCTCATGGGCTTTCCAACGTGCTATTCCATGAGCTTGCACTATTTTTAGTTTTCGCACTGTGGGACTCGTTGATAACTTTTGAAAAATAAATAAAATAAAATCCTGCAGTGCCATTCATATGCGTGCACTATTTTTCATTGCTGCACAGTGGGCTATGTAACTTTCTTCCATTAAAAAAATAATCGGTATGATGACGAAAGTTTTTTTTATTGAAACACCTTTAAATTAATTATTTTATTTTTTTATACTTATAATTATGTTCATTATCAGGTACAAACAGGAATAAATACAAATTTAAAAAAAATTGCATTTTTGTTTCGCATCTTCAAAAATCGTTTTTATTTTACCCCTACCAAAATCGTTTTTATTTTACCCCTACCAAAATCGTTTTTATTTTTCGCATATCTGTTATACAACAGAAAGTGCGCCCAGACTGGCTGTTGTCTTCGCTAGTTAAAATCGTTTTTATCTTGACGCACATGGAAAGATACCAAAAGGAGTGGACTAACATTGCCCATCTGCGAACTCCATCTAAGTTTGTTAATAATTTTACGATGTACCAAGTTTAGATAAAATCGGATACTCCCTTTCGAGAGTTGTTGCGCGCACCAGCCAGACAGACAAACGAACGGATGGAAATCTTTAGATGGACTCCAAATGTCCTGAAACGGATTTGATCCAATGAGACCTAGGGTCTAAAACCGTTATTTCGATGAGGCTCGTTTTCGCTGTATCAAATGATGTATACAATTTGTAGCCATATGGCTGAGGGTATAAACAATTAAGTTAAGCTAGCATAAATTAAATTAAGATAGGAAGCTAACATATGTGTCTGCAGGATGGTCAAGTTCGAAGATGGCCTATTTATATATAGGTCTACGATGTCCAGTAGTCCCATATCGGTACCTCCCGACATTCGTTATTTTGATGATCCTATCGAAATTTTTTGCCGGATTTTTTTTTTAAATTCCCAAATTTGTAATGGATACTGCAGCCTATGAAAAAAAATTGCGTATGCAGGTTCACGTCTTCGTATATCCCCATAAGACGATACTTCCCGATATTCGGTATTGCGATGATTTTAATAACATTTTTCACCGGAATTGTTTCAATTTTCGTATTTGAACCTCGCAATGGGTACTACAGCCTATGACAAAAAAATGTATTTGCGGGACCACGTCTTCGTATAGCCCCGTATATCGGTTTTCCTTAGAGGGGTATTTTTCGAAGGATTTGTTTTTACTTTTTTACTTGTTTGTAAATTAAATTACGAAAATTCTTTGTTAATTTGTTTTGAACTCAAATCACAGTTCCGAAATGATTATTGTTATACAATATTTGTGTATAACAGTATTAATTCATTTTTTGAGAAACATAGTTGCCCAATTGGTTGTTCAAAATAGTTTCCCCCGAAAAATTTATTCTTGACACATACCACACGAATTACCAACTTTTTAATAAATCCGAGCAGACAACCTGTCATGAAAAGGTTTGAAAACTAGGTGAAATTCATTAATTGATTAGTGAAGACATAAACACGGACGTTTTTATTCGAACTCCTTAAGGCATGCTATATTTTATATGCTGTCAAACAGTTAAAATAATAAAATTTAATTGCGGTTCTGTGATAATATTAGTTAAAGTTTTATTTATTACGTGTTTATTATTTAATGTATTAATTATATGTGAGTGGAGTCCAATTTTTAATACATACAATACAAAAGAAATAAGCTCTAGATAATGCTGGAAAAGAGCCAATGAAATGTAGTGCAAAAATGAAATCAATTCTCGTTATACCATATGTCGGAAATAGCATCAAATTTTAGAATTAGTTTAGATTTGTTCGAATTGGTCACCCTTGGCACGAATTATGGCCTTCAAACGATCAACCTATGGTGCAGAGTCCTGTTGGAATGTTCCAGGGCTGCGGCCAAAATCTTTGCAAGCCCTTTGATAGCCACTAGCGGTTTTCCAGCCAAATATAAAGAAATCACACTGAAAGAAAGAAATCACATTGCTGATTTCAGCGGCATTATTCTCCGGAATTGTTTCAAATTTGGTACTTGCACTTCGTAATGGGTACTTCATCCTGTGACATAAAATTGTCTATGCAGGTTCACGTTTTCGTATATCCCCCTATATTGGGTATTTTGATATTTTTTCGACATTATTCACCGGAATTGTTTTAAGTTTCATATTTGAAGGTTCTAATGGGTACTACAGCCTATGACAGAAAATTGTCTGTGCAGATCCACGTCTTCGTATAGCCCCCTTATAACGGTACTTCCCTATATTCGGCACTTTTATGATTTTAGCTACATTATTCACCGGAATCTTGTATTTGAACTACTTAATACTATCTATGACAAAAAATTGTCTATGTAGGTACAGATCCTAATTGTCGGTATTTCCCTATATTCGGTATTTTGATGGTTTTAACTACATTTTATAGCAGAATTGTTACACATTTCGTACTACAGCCTGTGACAGAAAATTACCTGTGCGGATTTACGTCTTCGTATAGAACCCAATACATTCGGTATTTTTAAGAAGTTTTTTTTTTTTTTTTTTTATACCCACAACCATATGTCTATGGGTCCCATATAGGTTATCATCGAAATAGTGTTTTAGACCCTAGGTCTCTTGGGACAAAATCCGTTTCAGGACGTTTGCAGTCGGTTTAGCGATGTCCGTCTGTTAGTCTGACTGGCTGGTGCGCACGATAACTGTCGAAGGGAGTATCCGATTTGTTCCAAACTTGGAGCATCCTAATATTACTATCAAAGATTGAGTTCGGAGTTGGGTAATATCAATCCACTCCTTCTTGTACATCCTACACATAAGGTCGAAATTTTCAAAAAAATATATTTACTGCACAATATTTACTGCACAGAAAGAGAAAGAATAATCTGATTTTGTTCCATCTGTGCAAATCCTAATATTTGCATCAATGCTAGTTCAGGTGGGAAAAATGGGCAACATAGGTCCACTCCATCAAGCACCTCCCCACAATGGTTCAAAATTTGTAATAATTATAACTCTTATAAAATGTGGAAAAAACCCCGATTGCCTTCAAGTTACACACATCCCATTATTTTTATGGGATATATCGGTTCAGTTCTTCTGGTACCTCCCCCACAAAGGGGCAACATTTTGAAAATTCATCACATGAAATTAGAAATTACCTTCCCCACATTGGGTTCAAGATTTCAAAAAACAAAACGCTCAAACAAAGTGCTATAAGGATCCCACTTTCTTCAAATTCCACACATACAAACATTTTTATTAACACAAGATCTGTTGTAAAGATGACATATATCGGTAAACCCCTTCTAGTGCCTCACCCACAAAGGGTCACAATTTTCAATACTTTTATTTGTCACAAGAATCAAATGGCCCATATTTTATAAATACTGGAATGAGTATAGGAATAGGTGACTCATTCCACATAATTCAAGTGTACGTTTGTTTAAAAATCAACCCTTGTAGGTACCATAAGGACAGGGCCGACATGACCCAAATTTCAAACTTGCATAGGTATGTTAAAAATATCACGACGTAATACTCATAATTACGCTGCTATAGAAGGAACTCCTTCATATTTAGCATCTCATAAAAATACGCAAATAAGTCAATGTGAGCTATGTGAGGAAAACATTTTAAACATTCATTCTGCAAAATTCCCAACGGGCAACCCTACATGCAATTTCAATGCCCCAATGATCAAGAAAAAAAATGATCAACTAAAAGAAGCTGC